CCCCCCCTTTCTACTGCTTAAAAGTGTTGGGCTCGTACAAAAATATTGTCCATCTTATGGCTGAAGCAAATGAAGCGACTTTGTGTCAAAGCTATTAATGAAATTGGTGAAAAAGTCCATGAGAAACTCATTTGGCCAGTGTTTGCCATGTAGATCTTCCACTATATCGCATTTGAATGCTTTCAATATTTTGTCGTGGGTTGCTGTAAATTGTATTGGTCATTCCTTGATTTCTTGATAAGATGGTTCTCTTTGTATTTATGCAGTCTGCTACAACTAGTTTTTCTTTTTACCAACCCCTATTCAATATTCAGTTTTGCATACCTGAAAACTGAATATTGAGCTCCCGTTTGGCCCCCATTTTTGGTAATGAAAATGGGAGGAATAGTGCTTTATTTAATGGGAATCAAACAGGGGCTGAATATGGCTTGGTAATATGAAAAAATAGTTGTTTATTGGGGCTTTTGTCTTAATTGAGCCTCACTGAAATTGTGGGAAACATTAATAACGGGGTCAGTGATCGATTTAGTTTTCAATTAGGAAAGTTAATATGGAGTAAATTGACTAGTTACTGTATAGAGCTTGGATTAATGTATGAAATAAGAAATGAAGTAGATATGGTTCTTTCAATTGGTGCATTATATGTATTTTAATAAATTTTGGTGCCACATTATGTATATTGAATATTAGCTGTTCTTTTATATGTAAGCTAACAATATTGACCTACTTCTCATCCCTGTGCACCTGCTCGAGTGCCCCATCCTTGTCAGCAACTCCATCCAAAATTAACCTCCTCTCTCACCACAGCAACGTTCACATACACGTACAAATACACACACACACATTCCTAGCTGACCAAAATCCTTTAAATGTTGATATTAATTTACTGTTGGTAGTGGTTAGGAATTTTCATTTTTTTTTTTTGGGTGAATAAAAATGATTTTTCTGTATCTCATTCTAAATTTCCTTTTGGCTATAACATCTCATTTTTATTCTACTAATTCATTTTTGTAAAAAATGTTTGCAGGCTTCAACTTGGCAAGCAAAGTCGGGTGCACAAGAAGCAGCTGCAGAGCCAAACAACATACTCTTTATACAAAATTTACCATACGAGACAACCTGTATGATGTTGGAAGTTCTTTTCAAACAATACCCTGGCTTTAGAGAAGTTCGAATGATCGAAGCAAAGCCAGGCATCGCCTTCGTAGAATTTGAAGATGATATGCAGTCGTCAGTAGCCATGCAGGCACTTCAAGGCTTCAAAATCACTCCCCAGAATCCCATGGCCATTACCTATGCCAAAAAGTGAGCAACCTACTTTGTCGGCCTAGTGCTGCATTTCTGTTCTGCTTATCGCGATGAGGAACTGTTAACCCTCGAGACTTGGAATTTTGTGTTAAGTAGATTTATGATGGTAGAAGTGGATCCTTGTCTGGTTTCATACGTACTTTTGAACATCTACATGATAGTATCTGCTTTATTGCATATGCGGGGAAGTAGACTGAGCTGTACATCTACTATGAGCAGATTGAAGCTTGCTTGCTTTGTTATTTCTGGTGAATGTTCACTTTCTAGAAGCACATTTCATTATCTACCATACAAATAATATGCATGTAATTGTTTGCTGCCCGTTCATTAAAATCACAAGGCATGTTTGACTTGCTGACGGGACAACATATGAATATTAATGTTGTCCAGGACAGTCCTATTTCGCCTTGTTAAATATGTCTAAAAGTTTAAGGATGTTGGTGCCACCAGTGTACTGGTCAAAACCATCTTTTGTTTTTACTGTTGGTGTTCTTGCTCGATGTTGGCATGTTCATCAGATGTGTTTTGTACGCCTTAAATCTCAAGAAACATTTACAATAAGATCGTGTATGGAATATTAAAATAACGGTTGGCCCTATTGCATTTCATTTTGATGAAATTAAATTAAAGTTCTCTCTCCTAATATAATTACACGATCTTCAATAAAATAATATTACATATACTACAATTAAAAAAGAAAAGAAAAACTATTCCACCATTATAATCACCAAGTCAAGTTTAACATGTAATTTTCTTTTATGATTTAAATTGATTGAAGTTTTGCTTGGATTAGAATGATATCTTTAATTTTCATGTTTGATAATGTTACATTGATGGAATTATTACTTGAACTGATTCAATCTTCCAAACTTTGAACTCTTATTATTATTATTATTACCACAATTTTCATTTGTTACACCACATTATTATTATTATTATTATTATTATTATTATTATTATTATTATTTCAAATAAAAAATAAAAAGAAATAAATCACTTTTTTTTAATTATTTATTTGAAATTTATTTGTATTTTTTGAAAAATTTGGGAGCATAATTGCGATTTGTTCTTTATTTTCTTTTTCTTTATTTTTGTTTATTTTAAGAGGTGTGTATACTTGTCGTTTTATAACTTTTAATTGAGAAAATGAATGAAAATAATGATTTTCGCAATTAAATGTAAATATAAGGTTGAAAATATCAAAAAATGAAAGGTAATCACGTTTTGCACAATAATATTGAAACGTATGGACATTTTGTGCTAATTACATTTTTAATAATTTATTTGAACTTATTCGCACTTTTTAAAAACTTTGAGAGTATGATTGCAATTTATTATTTAATTCTTTTTTAATTTTTTTGTTTTATTTGAATTGGAAGGTAGGTGTAAAACAACTTTCTTTAAAGAACTCAGCAGGAGAAGAGGTGTCTTCTCACAAAAGGGTATTTGTCATTTTACATGAAAAATTGGATGAAAAAATAGGGATGAAGATGTCAAAAAATAAAATATATGGACGATTTCCATAATATAATTGAAAAGTAAGACATTTTGTACTTATTACCCAACCAATAATCTATAACATTTTCCTAGATATTTTTGCTTCCACTGTAAAATGCTTAATGGAGACTCCCACACTGAAGCCCCCCAACCCGCTGCTGAGCAATATTCTGGTGCGCCTCCCCTCCTTCGGTGCTCTTGTTCACCTTGCTTGCTTGGCTTACAAGTTACATCATCACAGTCAACGGCCGATCTTGTGAATCCCTTGACTTCTAACATTCCACTAAAGCCTTGTGCTACACGTGACACGTCGGGTACACGTACCTCACACAAGGGGGCCCACACTTTTTTTTTATTGGGTGTGGGCTCCTCCCTCATATGAGAGGCTTGTATACCGACATGCGGATGTACAAATAGCAAAATTCTAAATCCCAACATCAACTGCCTCCGCAAACATTACCGTCGTTCCTTCCTTCTACCTCGAAACCTACTATTCCTCCATTTTCCTAAACCTAATTGCCCAAGGCTTTCCATCACTAAATTCGAAGTCTCTCTGCATTGGGGTGTTACAGGAGAAGAAATCATTGCATTAAAGGAGCATTTAATTGTTTTTTTTTTTTATGAAAAATATTTTCCTATTTTTGATCACATATTCATAATTTTCTTAAAAACAAGGAAAATATTTTCTTTAAAGAGAGCAGGTTTCTATTTTTCAGGTAATTCCCTCTCTCATCTACCTCATCCCTCTCTCATTTGTTCACCAATAAAAAAATTGACAAATATAGTATTTTCTAGGTTAAAAATTAAATCAATCAAATACATTTAATCGACAATTTCTATGCAAATAAGTTCATTGCTTAGAATTTATTTTCCTTACATGTAAATTCTATACTTACAATCAAATACATTCTAAAAGAAATCGAAGTGTTTAATTCCGTTGGAATTTCGTTGAAGAAATCGTCTCGAATGTTTATACGATTCAAGAATTAGACATTTGGTATCGTGTTTTCAAGTACTGCTGGACTGGATCAGCCGACGAAGTTGGAGGAGTTCACTTTGGAAGTTTACAAAACCCTAAATGCCTGCATGGGAGTTTTTTCAGCAGCTTTGACCTATTTTGGGTAGCACCATTTATGAGAGGTTAAGAAAATCGGTGCTTGCTACTTTTTTTTACCACAAATTTTGTATGATTATGTAATTTTGACCAGTTCTCTCAACCCACCAAATCAACGAGTTTTGATTGTTTCTCATATTTTCTATAAAATAATTATTTCCAATCAACATATTTCCTTCAAAACTAACTTGTAAATAAAAATATTTATAAGTAAAAAAAAAATTTTTAATTAAAAAATTACTTATAAGTACAAAATAATAACACTACGATTGAGACAAAAATTCATTTACAAAACATAAAAAAAATTACTTATAAGTAGAAAAATTCACTTCAAATTATTTAAAATTTTAAAATTACTTATAAATAAACAAAATATTAGCTTAAAATTTTTAAGTAATTATTTAACTTTATTTAAAATTTTAAGTTAAATATTAACTTACATGCCAAAAAAAAAAAAATTATCTATAAATAAAATATCGATTATTAGTGAAAAAATTTCAAATAAGAAATTATAAACTAAAATTTTATGAACATATATGTAATTTTTTCTTCTTTTCAAGGACATTTAGAATCGGTGGATAATAAATCCCTAATTATAAGTTAGACAATTTTGAAAATCACTATTAAAACCACTTAGAATCAATCTGCCCTTAAACGCTCAAAATCAATATTTTAAAAAAGGTTCATAATGGGTGTGTCGAAACTCCCAAGCAAGCCCCTAAAACATGGCGGTTTCTTTGTTGTTCATACTGAATCATCCAACAATACGTACATTTTCGCCTCTTCGCTTCAACTATTCAATGCTTATACATTGATTATATCGAGCGAAGTTGATGGTTTTGATTCATCATCTCCATCTATTCATGAAGTCATCTTCCAAAAAGAAAAAGTGGTTTTCAGAGTCAATGAAAATGAACTGTTCTTGAATGGTGATTCTGTGAGTAAATGCTCTGTTCTAAGCTATAAGCATGAATTGAAAAATAAAAAATAAAAAATGCAGAGCCATTAATTAGAGAACAGCCATTGAAACCTTGAATTACGTTCAAAAGGAATATAAACAATGTGAAATATCCGCCTGTATGCTTTAAGAATCAGTGTAAGTATGTGGCCACTGGAGCCAAGAATTATGGTTTGAGCATTGGGGGTCGGTTTTAAAAAGGGAATCCAAAACGGGATAAGCCTTTTGAAATTTACGCGATTGAGGCCAATAGTACTTCCCATGATGAGTATATATGCAAGACTTTGTTACTTGTAAAATCTTTTTTACTCTTTTGTTGACAGCTGATGAGAAGTGACATGTATTTTGATCATTAATTTATCTGTCAACAGAGATGTAAACATTTTCTGTAAAGTGGTTCGAGAAAGGGTTACCCTTTTGCCTTTGGTTGTGTTTCATGCACATAATGATTTACATACAGATGATGTGATGATATATGATTGAGTCGGAATTTCTTCAACCAAATAATAATAAAAAAAATTATCCAATCTCTTTTCAACACCTCATCTGTATGTAAACCATTATATACAAGTAATATTATTCTTTTTCCTTGGAACTTGCTACATGTAAGGGGCAAAGGGAGTGTATAGGGCACTTTTGCCCTATATAAATATCATAACTCTTTTGCCTTGTGAACATTGGATAAGGAACAAAACATTGTTTTTTGAGAAAAATCGAGAGGCTAGGATGAGGAATGAGTTCAAAGTACGGAAAGAATCAAGCTGTTCTGTCCTATCCTCGAGTAATTTTGAGTGTGTGAATAATAAGATTCAGGGATTCAATTTCGCAGTGTTGTGAAAGAGGGGGATAACGTGGTGGTGAAGATGGACGTGGAAGGGACAGAGTTCCACTTGGTTCCAAGATTGGTTGAGACAGGAGCTCTTTGTTTGATCAATGGGATGTTTCTTGAATTCCATTACAAGTGATGGCAGAGATGTTGCCGGGAAAAGAGGAGTCCCAAGTATCAAAACACACATGTTCAATGCTTGGAATTGTTTTCGCGTGTCAGAGAGAACGGAGTTCCTGTGCACCAGTGGTGGTGAAGGTAACACACGTTCTTGGAAGTATTCATCTTTTTCAGTCGATAGGATTTGTCACTCTTCGACGCCACTAATAGTACATACTCCATTAGATGCTGGTATTATGTCTTCTGAAACTATTATTCGTCAGTGATTGCATACGAACATTATGTCAAATGCTAAATTGTATTCTCGCAATGGAAAAATCCTTCAATTGGAAAAGAAACCCCTTTCTTGAAAACAAACAAGCCGTAACAATTGAAATCAGACCAGTGCCTTTGAGGTTCTATAGATGAACAATGCTTTGAGTGTCTAGTGTGCATCCCATATGGAAATAAACTAACAAAAACTTCTGATGCCGAAAGAATGCTATAAAACAACACCCCATTATCCCAAACCATCCAACAAATGCAGCCTCTAGTGGGAATAGAAATTACGAAGACAATGGACAGACCTTCACATGATAATACAAGAAAAACCGGCAAAAACACAAAACATGTTGCCTCAAAATAAATACTTCAAATATACACATGGTACCTTCGGTTGCCATCAATGGTCCAGGTTTCTCAGTTTTGGAAGAGAAAGGCCAAGAGGAGGGAAAGGAGAACCTATCCAAAACAGAGAAAGAGCGACCATGGTTTGAGTAGGTGGGGACGATATAGCAGCTATTAGAACACAAGATTAAAAAACATGCAATGAAGTTAAATTCAACATGGCGCAAGGGAAAAATTAAGCTCCATGGTGCAAAGTAAATCATCAGTTACCTGATTTCTTATTTCTTCAGCAATTAAAAAATAAGGAAATCTACAGGCATCAACGAAAAAATGATCTACACTGATCAGAGAATTGCCAATAACATTTCAAACTTAAAAAAAGGAAAAAAAAAAATTACTTCTTCAGTGAGAATAATATTACTTACTTTTAAGGAAATCTACAGGCATCAACAAAAAATTGATCTACATTGATCACAGAATGGCCAATAACATTTCAAATTTAATAAAAAAAAGGAAAAAAAATTTTCTTTTTCAGTGAGAAAATTCAATAGACCAGAATCCGAATCTTTTGAATAAGAAGAGAAAAAAAGAGTTCAACAATTGGTAAGTAGCTGTTGAAGATGTGAAACCCTCTTAAATAAATGGCAGAATAATAAATCAGAAATGCTAAAAAGCACCAAAAAAGGAAGGAAAAAGAATTAAAATCTAAAACACATTTTCTATTGTGATGTTTATTATGAAACTTCTCTCCTTTTTTTGCTAATTCTACATAAATCAAACAAGAAGGGAAGAAAATAATAAGATCCGAATATACAGTTTCTACTATGCATTCTCTTTGGCATATCTACTAGTCTCCTCCACAACCTTAGCCCACTCATTTCCAATCCTCTCTGTATATGCCACCTGTAATGTGATATTACAAACAAAATACATCAGGGATAAAGAGTACGGACATGATATGTTGATTAGATTTTTTAAATTCTTCATTTATGTAGTATAAATTTAATTTAATACTTGTTATTAATTTTTTTTATTGAAATCTTTTGAATATGAGTACATATTTATTATTTAATAATATATTCGAGTTGAAATATTTAATATTACTCATAAAGAAAGGAAAATGACCATGCTAGCATGTTCGAGGAGTGTTGATATTCGTTATGTGACCGACTAGTGTCAGACACGAACATCGTCCGCCTTAGTCGAAGTATCTGTGCAACACAGACTATCGACCATCACAATCATAGCACATAAACCACCATCATTACAGCAAAACAACTCAGCTACCATGAGACACACCCTCGCAAATCACTTACCCAAGTGAGGTATTGTAACACAAGGGGCTGGGAATATTGATGAGATAACCGGGCTTGTAACCTAAGTACATGAAAAAGTGATTAACTTCGGGAGGTTTTTGGGGCTTGACTTTATGACGGTGCAAAGCATCGAGATTAAAGTGGTGCATTTAAGATTAATAGGGGGTTGAAATATAATAGAAGATCCTTGACAAGAAATCAATGATATTTCGATGATTTATTATTATTGTTCATATAAATATATTGGGAACTATGTGTTAATCGCCAGTCTCAAGCCCGGGCTGGATAAAGGAAGCCACATAATACTTATAGCATATTTGGGAAGTATTTATATACGGTATTATAAATAGATAAAAAATAGTGGTAGATAAACAATGGCTTGAATTCTTATAAATTTGAGCCAAACATAGACTTAGTCACATGTTTTGACATGAACCTTTTTAGACATTTAGATGGAAGAAAAAGCTATATTGAAGAAAGAGATATCCATAAGGTTTCATGGATATCAGAATATCACACGAAAAAGAAAATATAGAAAGACATAGCCTTCAATATTCATCTCCAGACTCGTCAAGATTGGATATGTTAACAAAGTTATCATCATCACTGCATCACAGAGATTGAAAATGGTTCTTTATGTTCGTCTCCCTTATCTTCTCAAGTTTTTTAGTGTAATAAAATTGACAATCCTAAATTGACTGGAGCATCGTGAGCATAGAATGTCATAATTCAAGAAGATGAAGAATCGTGCGCAAGTGAAACTGACATGACATTGAACCTTTTTACTTTCAGTACCACAGGGAGGAGAACAGCATAAATCTCAGCTTTTCAATATTATATTGCTATGCTAAGTTAGGGATGTTAAAAGGGCCGAGCCAGCTTGAAAACCCCAGATCTCAGCTCGGTCCACCAGGCGAGCCCCAGCAAAGCACGGGCCAGCAAACTTTAAGGAAAGCTGGTTCGGCTCACCACAACAGTTCGCCCATTGGTGGGGCAAGCCGAGCAAGCTCGCAAGCCGTTCGCCCCACTTTTCTTTCAATTCAATATTTTTTGGTTTCCCTGTTTGGCAATGAAGTTCAAAATTTTGTAAAACGTAATCTTGAAAAAATCAATACTAATTCAATTTTTTTGGTTTCCCAATTTGCAAGGAATTGGTAAACATCCTCATCGGGTTCATAAATCCAAGTAAACCATTAGAAATGTTATAGAAGATAGAGGGAAAAGGCAAATATCAAGAAGTGGGAATTAGAAGATTAATTGCAAATAATGGAGCAATTACAAGATTAATTGTGTAGAGAGTGGTATATTAGGATAGAGATTTTAGATAACTCATAACTGTGAAAAAAATCGTTTCAGAAACACCCCTACTTACACACGAAAAATTTAAAATCAAAATTAAAATTTGAAATTTTGAACCAATGGCAGCCTGAATTCAATTTGATGGCAGGTGCCATCAAATCATGGCAGCCATAGCTGGCTCGCCTAACTTTGGCTTCCCGCCTGCGAGAGGCAAATGGTAACTCGGCTCGCCCCATTTCCCATCCCATGATAAGTTGAGGTCACAATCTCTATCATGATTAAATAATAGGTCTAGCAGCTGCACATGTTAGCAATATGCTTTAAAGAGGAAAAGTACCTGATTAGTAACAAATCCTTTCAACATGTTAACAAAGTCAGCCTGCCTTTCACTATCTAGCCTTTTCATTTCACTCCTATTATTACCCTGCAATCACACAATTAACCCATCAGTTAATTTTTTTACATCAACATGAATTAGTTTGCTTAACATAAACAAGAGAAAAAACTGAAGAGCGCATCAATAGCAAAAACATTGATTGACAGTATTTTTATCCATGTTCTAAATATGCAAGGAACAATATGAAGTATAAAGGCTGAAGGAGGAAGAGAAGTGGGAAGAATTTCAAGTGCATCTTCGTACCTTTTCCTCCATGTCAACTCAACCTAATGCTCCCCGTGGTGCAAAAACAAAAGAAACAAGCAGATAGATCTAATAAATTTTCAGAGTAATTTCACAGGAACACACATTGCTAAAAAAGACTACACGTCAAAACCTGCCAGATGATAAAGAATGAGAAACTAGTAGTGACAAGAAGGATGATAAAGGACTCAAATATGTCGGTGATTCTCTTAAATATCGCATTAGTAGTGACGATATAAGAAATTCCTAAATTGTTTGATTAATATTTAATACATAAATAATTTGAGAAATTATTATTTGTTACTTTATACAGACCTGTTTCAATTTTGTTTGGAAGTTAGACTTTTAATTTTGTTAATCTGTTTTATTATGCCTATGTTCGGCCCCATTTTTTCAAAATTCATTTTCAACCACACATTCTTTCATAAAATAATTTTATACGTGATTGAAAACCTTTTCTTCTTTTTTAATCACATATTCTCCAAAAAAATCACTATTCTAAAATACATTGTCTTACCAAAATGGGGCTCAAACAGGTTCTATAGACTTTTTAAGATGATTTATGGTTTATTATGAACATTATTTCATTTTTATATTCTTTTAGAGGCTTACACGTCACCTCATGAGGTAAAATGGCTCAGTACCCAATTAAACCTTTTTAATATTGGGAACACATTTTGCATCCCAACGTAGCACTCCTTGTTGATTCTTATCGTAAAAACCAAAATTCTTTAACAAATCATTTCCTTTATTTTAAAGCAGCATAATTAAGTTCTATAGCTGGTTGGACATTTAAAGTGTTGCTTTCATGTGGATATATGACCATTAGATAAGCACTTAAGAACTATGTCTTACCTATTCAAAGAATTCATACTAACTAGTATTTATAAAATGACAACACTGAAGATAGAAAAACTAGTAACAATAATAGACTAATTGATGATTGGATCACCGGGAGGTGAAACAAGTCTTCTAGCTAATTCCATGTGATTAAGACGTAAAAGTAAATGTTATCTTGAGCAGAATTTGGTAATTGCTAAAGCATTGAGTTCCTGAAATGCAATGTTCTCAATTATGACCAAGAAGAAACGGAATAGTTATTCAGTGTTTAAGATACTTGAGAAAGATATAGATGAACATGAGGTAAAATGGTACCAAATAGCATTCCAAAAAGAAAATGAAACGTAGAAAGAATCTAATTCAAATGAAATTTACAAAGAATCTAATTCAAGTTTCTGTCAGCTATAGTCTGGTATTTCATACCTTGATTTGTTCATAATCTCTGATTGCACGCCTTTTATCATCCTCTGTGACCCTAATGGATTCTTTTAGCTCTTCTAATTTGTGAATCCTAGAGTTGTCACCACCAAAATTTTTGGATGACATCGTTTCGTGTTTTGCAGCTCTTGAATGCAAGGAAGACAGTTCTGTTGTAAGAGTTTGTATTGTCGACAAAGCACTCGAACGATCAGAGAATGCACTGTGTACAGATAAAATCAACCCCATATATTCATGCAATGTATCCTGAAATACACAAACTGATCTGTTAGCATGTTTGAGAAAGGAGCATTTTAATCCTAAGATATAAAAGCCAAAGTTTTGAAGATTATTGCCAGAATCTAGAAATAAGTTTTAACACTTACAAAATAAAGATTTCATTAAACGTACGAGTAACTACAATCCCTCCTCTTTTTTTCTTCTCGAGCAAAACAATTTGCTACAATATAGAAACAAATTATAACTTCCGTACTAATGACAGACATTACATAAACATATTAACCACTGTGATCCCCGTATTTGGTTATTTGTGGAGTGAAAAAATGAGTACACAATAACACTCCTTTGGAAGATTAATATTATGGTTGAAGGATTCAGAGAAGAAATCATCACTTTTATAAACAAACCATGTGAAGACAAGCCAATTTAATATGGGAGAAAGAGCCAGTATATTATTTGACAAACAACCAATGGTTTAGGTGGGGATGGAATCTGTGACATCTGAGTCCCAGGGACTGGCTCAACCTTCACTAAGTTAGCCCTAACTGGAAGTTTGATAAACTAACAGTTCAACTTTTCACACCATAATGACCCACAACAATAATGTAGCACTTACCAAATGCTTCACGGTCTGTGCATTTAATGCTCGATACAATCTGCTTGCTTTAACAGCTGCAGTTGCAACAATTTTCATGTCAGCAGCCCTCACTCTTTGAGTATTCAATATGGCATGGTCATTCTCAAACTTTGTCAACTTAATAAATGCTAGCCCCAATTCTCCCATTGTATCCCCCATATCTTCCTGTGCTTTAACCAGTGATTCCGCCTAACAGTTTAAAAGAACAATTTAGGTTACAAGTGTACACAATACAAAATTTAAGGCAGAATTCAAAGTCGAATTTTATCAGCAGATCAGCTATGCATAACATTTGTCATGTTCAGAATGCATGTATGTGTAAATAACCATATAAGACATGCATAACAGTTGTATTAGAACTAGTGGCAAGAATGTTGAGGAAACCTGTTTAGAAGCATTAGTAAGTTGCTGCTCGAGATAATGCAACTTCTCTTTCTTTTCCAAGAGCTCTTTATCCTCCTCCTCCACAGGAGGCCTTGACCTACCCCAATCATGCACAACTGATTGCTTCAACTCCTTGAACAGGCTCAGCAAATCCCTCCTGCCCTTGGCTGGCTCCACCGCATCCTGCGACTCAATTACACTCCTCGATTCCCCCAGCAACTGCTTTGGCAGCGCCATCATCCCGTCAAGAACGTTCGATGCCACATCAGTTCTTGCCGATGAAGGCATTCTCCCCTCCACTGTTAGAAACTCCTTCAACTCGTTGCTTTTCTTAATCACAGGGTGCATCGCAAGCCTCCTCAAGTACTTCTCCAACGCAACTCTCCTCTGCTCGACAAACTCCTGCTTTTGCATCACCTGACTCTCCATTACACTTTTATCAGGCCGTATAGGAACAAAATACCCTTTATAGCCTTCACTCAAGCGATCTGCAAGCATAATGACATCCCTAAACCGCCTTCGAACTCTAAAATCCGACCCTCGATACTCGTGAATATTCGTATTCGTGGTGATCAAATAAGTAACGTAACTGTTACCACCCGGAACAAAAGAGTTAGAAGATTCAACCTCTTTTTTGGGATCAGAAACCGTGATTCTTAAATACTCCGAGCCTTCCAGCTGGGACCTCGGAGACACCCTCAATTTTCCGTGTACATCATCGCTCCCACCGTCTCCGTCGGAGGAGACAGTGGGACTATCCTCAAGGGGGCTGATAATGACATCAGCGTAGGAGGGGGATTCGGGGAAGGGATCGTGAGAGGGAAATAACAGCGGATCGGACGAGGCGGGGTTGGTGGCAATGGACGGCGGAGTCAACAGAGGGTGCTCGGAGGAGGAGGACAGTGTGGTCATTGCACTGCAGTAATTGGAATATGATTTGGAGGTCGAAACGTCGTCATTGCTGCCATCGTCTTCGTTGAGAATTGGGATTTCCATCTGTTCTCTGCTTGATTCTTGGATGTGATTGTTCTCAGAACCCATCATTTTCTTTCCAATAATTTTTCGTATTTATTTTTGATTACTGAATCAATCAGAAATGGATCAAAATTAGCAAAAAAAGGAATTATCAATGCTTCATAATTATAGAAATCAGTAAAAGAAACGGTAAAATATGAAGTTAAATCTAGGGTTTATGTTCAGAATGAAAGATGAGTGGAAAATTAGTTGAGAAATATTTTCCTTAATAATTACTTTCTATATGGAGGAAAAGAATTTCCATCTCAAAAAAAATTTCAACATTTTGATCAAACCTTTATTAGGAAAAAAGAAGAATAGTTTATGCAAGTTTGTTCACACTTCTCATAATCTCATCTACTTGATAGGATCAAATAATATGTTGATTGTGTCGACTCATTCTATTTACCTGATCGTTTGAAATAAAAGTCATGATATAGTACTTAAATTTGTATTTTCGTAATATTTAATCATATTTTATTTATTGAAAAAAAAAAAAAAACTCAAACACCATATACATGAACTTAATGTCAACAAAATTAAAAGTTTCGTAAAGGAGCAAATGGTCAAAAATATTCGTCTTCACTAAATTATGCATGAAAATATTCAATTGAATCATTAACCTTATTTTGTCGCAATTACGTATATTAACTTTACTATTTGTCACAATTAAATTGCTATGTACATTACTTGATTTGAGGAGTTACATGTTTCATTGGCTATCGAACTTTACATCATGTCACGGCTTACTCGTTAAACTTTCAAAATTGTCCCATTAACCATCGAACTTTACTTCGTTATTGTTCATTACTCACCGGTTGAAATCTGTTGGTAGACGTTGTAACGTGACAGACAAAAAGTTGAGCTGGCCGGTTAATTGTCTCCAAATGTTAAATGTTCTCCAACTCAGTGCCAAATCTACTTGCCATACACACATTTTTGAATATTTAACCCTTGAAATTAAAACCCCCCAAATCCCTTGAAATCTAGAAATTCCCCAAATTAATTTCCATTAGTGATTAGTGACAAATTGCACTCGGTGAGTAAGGACACTAACGGACTGAAGTTTAGTAGCTAATGGGATAATTTTGGAAGTTCGATGAGTAAACCGTGATATGGTGTAAAGTTTGGTGACCAATGAAACATTTAACCTTGGTTTAAGCAATGGAGATAATAATGTTAGCAAGAAATAAGGTTGAAAAAAACACATATCAGCAAAAATCTAGCCATTTAACGTGACATAACATTAAAAGTCAAGAAAACAAGAAAGTACTAACAATCGAACCTAAATAAAAACAAAAACAAAAACGATATATATATATATAGTGTGCCAAACATAAAACAAAATTGCGAAGTGGAATGTGATTTTATAAATAAGTCAGCAATTTGCATGGTGGAAGGAAGAAAAGGTAATGTTATAACGCCAAGCTAATAATGATGTCAAGTGAAATGACAATCAATCTCAATTTGTTTAGTTTTCTTATAGAATATTGATTTGCCTACAATTTGAATAGCACTCTTATTGTGACAAGACAGTGGAGTAGGTCAAGGAAGAAGCACACCCATAATTGCAAGTAACCAACATAACCAAACTATCTTTCAAATAGTAGAAGCCATAGAACGATACTCTAGTTCTGTGGAAAATCTAGAAACAACATCTTGCTTCTTGCTCTTCCAAGAAATAAGAGAATTATCAAGAAAGATATACAAGCTAGTGGTAGATCAGTTCAAGAGCATTAAGTTCAAGAGCTGTATCAATAGTCATATTATCAGCAAGACAAGCATCTCAAATATATTATTAATGTACTTAGACTGAGAAAAAAGATAACCTCTTGAAAAAGATGCAACTTCAATACCCAAAAAGTAACAGAGTGAACACAAATCTTTCATTACAAAATAACGAGCTAACTCTGACTTTAGCACTTCAATTCCATCAGTATCATCACCAATAATAATCATGCTATCAACATATAAAGAGAGCATAACATGACCAGCAGTAGTACATCTATGAAATAAAACTGAATCATGATAACTAGGACAGAAACCGAGTAAAATAATCATAGTAGAAAAGTTTTCAAACCAAGCTCAATGTGCCTATTTGAGACCTTAGAGAGCTTTTTAGAGTTTATAAACTTCACCAAGTTGATGAAAAATGATAAGAGGAGAATTATATAGATTTCGTCTTATATATCTTCATTTAAGAATGCATTTTTAACATCGAATTGAGATATACACCATCAACAACTAGAGGCAACTGCAATAAAGGTATAAACAGTAGTCATTTTTTCAACATGTGCAATTTTCATAACCATATCATACTCCTGAGAACACCCATTGGCAAATAATTGGGCTTTATATCTTTCAACAGGTCTATTTGACTTGGTTTTGATTTTATAGACCCAATAAGAACCAATTGCTTGTATTCCTGACAGTAAAGATACCAAGTCCCAAATGTTTGTCAATATCCTACCAAATTGGGTCACAAACTTCCTCTCTATAGGATAAAGGCTCAGAAAGACGATGAACAAAAGCTAAAAATGAAACATAAGAAGCAAAAATCAAGAATAAGCACAATTTGGTGATTGAATTTACGAGTACTCGTAGGGTAACGAGGAGGAGGAACCACAATCTCAATAGGTGATTGGGTAGCCATAAGAAGGAAGAGAACAACTGATGTATTAGGAGCCAAAGTACCAGTATCTATAGAATTTTCAATGGAAACCCTAAAGAATCATGATTAGAAATGAGAGTAGATGTGAGTGGAACAAGAAATGGGATAATTTCAGTATCAACAAGGAAAGGATCAATGTGAATAAGATCAGACATAGTCATATTATGAGAACTAACAGGATTATAAAAGAAAGGTATATGTTCAAGGAACATAACATGATGAGATACGGATGATTTTTTACTTAGTGGATCAGAACAACGATATCTCTTTTGCCCTGTACCATAACCTAAAAAACACATAGTAGATCTAGCGGACAATTGTGTACGCTAGACATGAGGTCAAAAGACAAAACAGATAGAGCCAAAGATGCGTAAGGAAGAATAATCAAGAGCATATCCGTATAACTTCTCAAAAGGAAACAAACATGAATTGTGTGAGATTGGGATCCTATTAGTCAAATGAGCAGCAATAAGAATTACTTCTCCCCATAATTCCCTAGGAATAGAAGTAGAGAATAAAAGAAAATGAACTGTCTTAACAAGATGCCTATATTTCCTTTCAACAACACTATTTTTTTTATGAGTGTTTACACAAGTAATTTGGTGAATGGTTCCATCAGACGTAAGTAAATAAAAAAAAGCATTAGAGGTATACTGTCCATCCAAATCACATAAAAAACATTTGATAACAGCAGAATGTTGAGTTTTCACTAGTGCTTTAAACATACTTAAAATATTAAAGAAATCAGAGCGATGTTTCAAAAGGAAAATCCAACAGTAACGAGTGTAATCATCAATAAAGGAAATATAATATCATGAACCTTCTTTAGTGTAATGGGAAAGGGTCCCCATAAATTAGAATGAATAAGATCAAATGGGACAATAGAAACAGGTATATTTTTATTAAAGGCAGCATCTACTAAAATTAGAAATGTCATCCATTCTCAAATTTCCTAATGCTCCCATAGAAATTAATAGCTTTAAATGAGATGTTGAAACATGACCAATACGAGAATACCATAAGTAAAAGACAGAAGACAAATGATTCAAACGAAAAGATGACAAATCAACACTAGAAACTACAATTTCTGATACTTTAAGTATATCTAGAACAAAAAGTCCCTCTTGCTTAATGTCAGTCCTAATCAACTTCTGAGATTGAGGTCCTGTACATAACAAGAGGAAGAAGAAAAATAGACTAAGCTCCTGTCTGTTTTAGATTTTTTGGCTCATTTTAATTGCATTTTGGACCGTTGCAATCCCAAACAGCCACCTTTGTTGACTTTTTATCTCACAATGGAACCCATGTGCATGTCAAATAACAATCAAAAATCCATTTTGGTACTGAAATAACCGGAAACAGACAGTTCCTAAGTATTCGAATTCTCATAATTGATTAACAAAAACAAGATTTAAGGTAAGATTAGAAATATGGTAGACGTTTTTGAGGGACAAATAGTGTGTATCAATAGAACCAACACCTGTATTGGTATAGGAGTACTATCGACAGTTACAACTGACAAAAAGACTTTAGAGATAATGAAACAAAAGATGATAAGGTGACATATGATGGCAAGCCCCAGAATCAAAAACCTACAAAGAGGATGATATACCTGAAGAACTAGAAAATAACAAACCTATTTGAGAGGCAGACATTGCATGTGATGGTGTTGCATTTGACTGTGTTACAAAAAACTTGCGAAATTGCTTCTTGGGAAGGAAACTTATAAAATTACTTTCTCAATAACATTAAATAAGATTTTTTTAATTCATATGAAAAACAAAATCAGCCTACATAAATGTGACAGATAGAATATATTTAACGCTTCACAGGTTCCTCGGGGTTTTAACACCATCATCACGGTTATCGGAAAACAAATCATTGCACAACTCCCCGTAGAATCTGGACACCAAATCAGTGAAAATAGGACATCTGAGGTTCTTCCAACAGTAAAGAAACTCTTCAACATCCTTCAAATCCCTCACTTTCCCTTCTTCAACCATCATTTCTATCAAATAATTCTCAAAACTCCTGCATGCATCTTCAACATCATCTCGACCCAAGACTTCCATTTTGTAATCTCCTCTCATTTTTACGTATGCTGGGGTGAGAGGGGAAGGGTGGGGTGCCTTATGATGTCCCTCATCTGGAAAACTCATGAGCTCCATCATTTGATCTGTCTCTTTTCCTTGCCTTGACGAACGGAAAAGCGTACGAATCTTCGTTAAACGACTCGTGTTGATGGTTTTCGATTTTCTACGACGAAATCGAAGAGATGTTATGAAGACGGGTTTTCGGAGTTTAAATTTGAAGAGTTTTAGTATTTTCTTGCATGGATTGAAAAACTTGGACGGAGTTTTCAACTTCATTGCTTAACGATTTGTTAGGTCGCACGGAAATGAAAACGAAAACATGTCTTATGTAAAGGATTAGGTGTGGTTTTCACGTCTTGTATTGTAGGAAAAGTGGCATACCATGAAATGGAATTTTTTCCAACTGTTTGAAGGTCAGCATTCCCTTTTTCAATTTTAAAAGTCCACCTTCTGCCTTTATATTATTGCTTGCACGTTTGCTGCAGATTTCCATAACGAGGGTCAT